TCTCAGGTCCCTCAGGATCCCCTCCACCCCCACCCCACGCTGGAGTGGTGTTCTGTTTTGCCACTCACTCTCTCTTCCTCCTCAGACTCAGATTTTATTACTACAGCTTGGTCTCAGTACAGATCAATAACCAAAAGTTGGCGCAATTGGTTTCCAGGTCTTGCAGATTACAACAACTTCTGCCCCCACACAAATGATCCCAAAATCTTTTATCTCTAAGGTTCTACAACTTCCCACTCTGCTCTAAAAAAAAATCTTTTAAGATTATGCTGTAGACTCTGTCTCAGGATTGGTAAATTCATTGAGTGTGGTTTAAATTCTATAAAATCTGTAATATAATTCAGCTTAAAATATAACTAGTCATACTATATATGAGATTTAGCTCTTGGTTAGAGTATACTGTATATGTAACAGATTCAACCCTTGTTTAGGAAAATAGCAACCATGTAGCTCTCCTCCATTTTGTCCTCATCAAGATGTAAGCAACCACACCTGTAGCAGTCATTTTTAGAAAAGAATGACTTTTTTAAAAAAAAATCCTGTAAATTTCAGGGAATCGACTTGAATCTGCCTCTCCCGAGTCAAACAGACTGCAGATAGTATTCCTGTGAGCTAACAGCCTAAGTTTTCTTACCTACTGCCTATTCCTGGAGGTGGCAATCTCTCCACCTTTCCTGGTCTTTGAACTCCCCTCTCCCAATTGGCAGGACCGTAGGCCTAGAAGTTTCAAATGTACACCCAAGATAAAAAAAAAAAAAAAAGTCCTCTAAACTCCTTAACTTTACCTTCTCTTCCTAGTCTATCATTGCCAACAGATTTCAAGTCAACTGCAGACTTCAACAGATTTCAAATCAACTGCAGCAACAAGCTAGGGGTTCCTTGAAAATCTGCATCCCAGACAGCTTCAGAATTGCTAGCCTGGACAACAAGTGAAATAGCCTGCTCTCCCCAGACTTGGCCAGCATTCCGGCTTCCAAGGGTTGGTTTTATTTATTTATTTATTTATTTATTTATTTATATCAATTCTTTGTTCATTTACTTAAAAAATTTTCTGAGACAGGGTCTCTCTGTGTAACAGTCCTGGCTGTTCTGGAACTCTCTGTAGACCAGGCTGGGCTTGAACTCACAGAGATCCACCTGCCGCTGCTTCCTGAGTGCTGGGATTAAAGGCACGTACCACCATGGCCCAGCTAGATTGACACTTTAAGTGACCAAGGACATTTTCACAAGAAGGACAGAAGGTGGGTGGCCTGCCTGGCCTGTTATGCATTTTCCCCATTTTCCTCACCCCTCCACGTGTATACCCTGAATAAAATTTCATGCAATGTTCTGATTTGGGATTTTTTTGTTTTGTTTTGTTTTTCTGTTTCTTTTGAGATGAAGTCTCACTACACAGCCCTGGCTGTCCTGAAACTCACAGATATCCCCCAGCCTCAGCTTCCTGAGAGCCAGGCTCACAGGCATGCACCACACACCAGCCTTTTAGTAAGCTTTTAGGTGAGAGTCTGGAGTCTGCGATATTTCCTGGCTTTTCTTAGTTTATATTCCTTGACCCCAGGCTGCAGTCACCAAGGGGTTGCCAGAAAGAAGAGAAAAAGGAATTTGCAGATATTTTCACAAGAAACAAAGGTGGTATCTGCAGAGATGGGTGCTGAGTCAGAACAGGGAGGGGAGATAAAGTCACCACAGGGGAGGCGGGTGCCCAAGGGAACCTGATTCTGTGGAAGTCCAAGATGTGACCCTGAAACATGCAGGGCTTTAAGGAGGATCTGAGATTGGGGGATGTATACAAGTGTCCTCAAGGGTTGTCCAGGGGGATCCACAGTAAAGCTCAGATAATCCACAAATCTAACAGGAAAAAAAAAAAGCACAAATCCAGCCATGAAATAGTATCCAACCCTGTAAAAGCAGAAAGCTCTTAGAAACTAAATGCATGCATGAATGAATGAGTGAAATATAGTGAACGTATTTTTGGAACTGGTGAGACAGCTCAACAGTTAAGAGTATATAGGCTCCGCCCTTGCAGAGGACCCAGATTCAGTACCCTATGCCCACAGGGAGACTAACAATCTCCATAACTCCAGAGTCTCAATGACTTCTGATTGTTCTAGAAAGCAAAGCCAACTTCTGATGTAAAACAGATGCAGCCTCCCCGTAGGAACTCTGAAGCTTTGACCTCCTGGCTGTTTCAGTTCCCACTGGCACCTGTGATTGCAGCCCCACCACAAAGCACCGCCCCCCCCCACACACACCCAGGCAATTTGACACCTCACATAAAGCAAGTACTTTCTCCCAAGCGCTTGATGTCAGGCTCCACCCACCTGCTTGTCTACCACGTGTAACTGATAGCAAGGAAACCCTAAGGCTTTGTTGACAAGATGCTTTAACTAACACTATGCCAAACCCGCAAACCCATCTTAAACAGTTTTAGACTACGAAAGACGCATTTCTCGTTCTTTCTGGGGCTATTATAGCTGAGTCACGTGCTCATAGCTCAATGGGTAGGGCGCTGGCAGATTAATGAGCAGAGTGCTTGTAGCTCAGCCAGTAGGGTGCTTACCTAACATTCAGGAGGTTAGCAGTTCAGGTCTCTTAGCGTTGTGGTTCAGAGGACTGAACGCAGGCTGTCAGGCACGATGCAAGAGCCTTTACTCGTTTTATTGTTTGTTTTTTAATATTTTTCAGACAGCACCCAGGTGGCTATGCTAGCACACTTAGAAACTGAGGCAGAAGGGCATTTGACATCAGCCTGAGCGATGTAGCTTGTGTTTTGATTTCTTGTTGCCGTGACAAACTCCTGGACGAGCAGGAAAGAAAGTGACTTTTATTTAAAAACAAGAACCGTCAGGAGCTTACTTGCCACTTCATTACCAAATACAGGAACTGAACAAAGGGCGGAAAGCCGCAGTATTTTCCCGAAAATCAGGGATAGGGAAGAGAAACCAGGGCCACCCATGAGGAGGAAAACAGCCGCCCATGAGGCACTGAGAAGCTGAAATGAGCTGAAAGGGTCATCCCTGAGGCCTGACAAGGAAGCCACGACGTGAGCCCCATCCACCCTGCACCTTCTGGGGGCTCCTGCAACGTCTTGGAACCATCCCATCCTGCGCCATCTTGAATTTCACTCCCTCTTGATCCAGCACTCTATCAAACAAGCTACAAGTACTCCACCCACTGAGCTAAAAGCACTGAACCACTGAACCACACCCCCTGCCCCATAGCCAATCCTTGACTGCCCATTTTTCCTTTGATTTATTTTTCCCTGTTTCTACCATATTCCTGGTTGGGGTGAATTCTTTGCTACCAGGAATTCGTTGCTGTGGGGGCTGAACAGCACATGCTCTGCATCTGAGGCAGTTTCGCATCAGTTATCAGTGGCTGGCGTCTGGTTTTTTACCAATCCTGCTTTGCCTGGCAGAGATTGAGATGCCAATAAAAAAAAATGCATTGGGTCACGACCTTCGTTCAAGCCAAAGCAGGAGTTGCTTTCAGGTGCATGTGGAAGTGCTCTATGACTCCAGGTGACCCCGGCATCACCAGTGCTGAAACCCTGATACTCTGAAGCCATATTCCCATGGGGCATATGATGTCAGCAGAGCATGAAGAAGTGTCACAAAAGCAGCCAATACGGAAAGGGGTGGGTCCACGGGACTAAGTGATGTGTGGAGACAAACAAAAAAAGGCTGCAGAAAGCAAAGCAGGAGGAGACCCACTATGTGACAAGGGGGAGGGGAGGACACAGCCAAACAGAACAGCCCTGGGTACTGAGCCTACAGCCCTTCCTGGATACTAGGCCTCACATCGCCCCAGGGTTTCAGGAGGATGGCACCTGTTAAGGCGATGGCCAGTCCTAGGCTGAGTGGGATGTGCACACACAAAAGGGAGTAGGCAGAGGAACACACTGGAACAAGTCCAGCCATCCCCCTGCCTCAGGCATATATGTATATGATCCACATAGGTGCTGGGAATTAGAACTCAGATCCTAATTGCGAGAGCGGTCAATCACACAGAGTATTTGGCTGTATCAGATGGTCAATGTTGAGTTTAATAAATGATTTTGTCATCATGAAACCAAAACCAAAATATAGCATGCTTGGTGCATTCTGACTAGTGAAGTATCAGGTCCTAGCAGGCACTCAGTGTTTACTGAATGAAAAAATATTGTTCTCAACGTTAAACAATAAAAAAAAAAAAAACAGCAGACTTCCTTGCTTTCAAAATCAGATGTACCTGCCACCCACAGGCGCCAGCAGGACACCTGCTACTGAGTGGATGGTCTTTATCCCTGTTTCTGGGCCCCTTTCGTCCCTGTGTCTCTCAGGACTGTGTCTCCTAGCTAAAGCAGGACTCTGCCACGCGCATGCTCTAAGCAGCCAGGGAAACCGCCTTCTTTGCATGCCAGGCTCTGAGAAACTCTGCCCAGGCCTTGCAGGTGGCTGCTGTGGTCTGAAAAGTACCGTGTTCTTAGCACTCCTGGCGAGCCCAATCGTGTATGATGCCACTTAACAGGTCCCTGGAAACCCTGTCTACCCAGGAGTCCTCGGGCTCAGGACCAGCAGGTGTCGCGGGTCCACGGTGAGCATGAACTTTCGGGGGGGGGGGGGGAAGCGGGGGCTGCCCGACAGCGTCGTAAGTTCTAACCCCCAAACCTCGGGAAACTCCTGGAAGCCGTGCCCCACCCGGACTCCTCCCCTGGTGCCTCAACCTCTCCACCGCTTGGGCTCTGCCAGGAACATCCGCGGGTGGCAGCCGGAAGTTCCTGCGCCTCTTCTAGTTTCCTGCCGAGGAGGGGGGGGGGTTGACGTGAGCCGGGACCCCCGAGCATCCCCCTCGTTCTATTTACTTTGGTACAGGAGCGTCCCGTGGGCTCCGAGGGTAACAGGCAGGGCGGGGCTGCAACCCGGCTCCTCCCAGCTCGGGGTAGGCGGGAGGGCGGAGCGCGAGGAAGACACCTCACCAATCACGTCGTCCCGCCCCCCCCCCGCCCGCGTAGACCGGTCCCCGCCCAGCCGGCTTCCGCCTGGAATGTAGAGCGTTGCCATTGGCGTCTGTCCCGCGGACCCCACGCGCGTCCCGCCGGTTCCCGCCGCTCTGAGCTCCGCTGCGCGAGCTTCCATTGTCCTTATGGCTGTGGGAGCCGGGACGCGTGTGTGTTGCCTCTGCTGATGCCGAGGCTGCCTTTGCGCCCCCGTCGCACGGTGCGTCTCCCGCCCCATGGAGCCGCCCGCGGGGGCCGCCGCGACCGAAAAGGCTCCTGCGGCCCGAGACGACCCCAAGGATGCCAAGGTCTCGGCGCCAGTTGGGAACCCCCCGACCAAGACGTCGTCTCCGCAGAAAGCTGGACACTCGCTACAGAACTGGGACACCGTGGCCACAGTGGGTGAGTGAGAACTCGCGTGTCGGGACGCAAGGGTCCCCTGCGACCCTGGGGCTTTTATCTCCCACACATTTCAGTACACGGTCTCCGGAAATGGGGCGGCCCTACGTCACAGAGCTTTAAGGAGGGTGACTTCACCTTGGGGACTCGGTGGCTCCCTGCTGGGGTGCCAGTCACCCCGGGGACACCACGCCCGACCTCTCTGGCGCTTGCGCACCCGCTTGGGCCCTAGGGTGCCTCGGGGTCGAATCCAGCCTCCCTAGTGTGGACACCTGGTGGGGTTCAGAGGGGTACGTGACCCCCGGAGGACCCTTCAGGGACAGCTATACCGATGTTTTCCCCGCATCCCCTGTGTGCCTGAGTCTAGGTTTTTCTTTAGTGGCTCCTAGTTTGGTCTCCCCGTGACCCTCCAGGTTACTGGAGAAGTCGGTGGCTTCCCTCACGGGCCGGGATGCTATGAGGGGGCTGGGATCACGCGAGGTATCGTGGGCAGCAGCTTCTCAAGTCTGTCTGGGGCATCTCGGAGACCTCGGTCGCTAGGACAGTTGAGCCCAGTGTGTTGATTTTTAGGAAAGTGTTCCTGGAGGAGGGACAGAGGGAGGGATTGGCGTCCTCTGCTGGCAGAGATTCTAGAGACTTCTCCGTGCACCCCGGTGTTAGAAGGGGTTCAGCGCCTAGGTTGAGGGAGTCAAGTCGGGGTTCCGCGCTAGGCTTGAAGGAGGATTAATACCTTCTGTGCCGGGCTGGAGAGATGGCTTGGTGGGTAAAGAAGTTTGTGACCCGAGTTCGATCAAGGTTCCAGCTTGGAGGAAACCGGCTTTTGGTTGACTTTTGAAGGAAACGGAGCCCCGGTGAATGTCTTTTACTTATGATGATGTAGCTCTGGTTGACCTTACTGTCACTCAAGATGCTCAAGATGACTTTAAAGTGCACATTCCCCTACCAATCCTTTCTAAGTGCTGAAATTGCGGTCCTACTCCACCGCAGATTGGTTAGATAGTGCTGCGAACCGAGCCCCCGCCCTTGTTTTTGAGATATTGATTGAACTGAAAGTCACTGCATAGCCCAAGCCCACTGGAGACTCCAAGCAATCCTCTTGTCTTAGCTTTCCCAGTGCTGGGGCCATAGGGACTCACGGACACTCAACACTTCAACTGGTTCTCCACCCTTTTCCTTCTTTCTTTTTTTGGAGACAAGGACTCTCTACATAGGCCTGGCTGTCCTGGAACTTTCTGTGTGGACCAGGCTGGCTTTGAACCTAGAGATGATCCCACCTCCCAAGTGTTAGGATTAAATTCGTATACCACCACTCCTGGCTTCGTCGTTAATTTTTAAATTCACTTATTTACTGTGCCGCATATGGGCAGGGTGGGGGTCAGGGATCAATTTACAGGCATCTGTTATTCTGCCTTCCACCAAGTTGGTCCAGGGTATTGAACTCAAATTCTTGGGTTTGGCAGCAAGCCTCTTGCACCTACTAAGCCCTCTTTCAGGCCCACTGGGTCTCCCATTGGACCCCATTGGGCGTCTTGGGAGCCTCCCTGGGCCGTGTCACATCCTGAATCCTACAACCTTTCTCTACTGTGAGCTTGTTCCCTCCGAGTCTTCTAGAAGGACCTGGGTGTGTGCACATGTCAGCTTCCCCTCTCCCCAGTCAGCCTTTTATTTTATATACACACACTTAACTGAGCTACAAGAACTCTCATCATTGAGGACTCATATAAGTTTAGACCGTGACTATGACAAACGTGGTGTTCTGGGGGTGTTTGAGACAGAGCTTTCATGTGTAGCCCTGCCTGTCCTGGTGCTTGTTGTGTAGACTAGACAAGCCTGGAGCTGCAGGTGCCTACAAGTACACACCACCCAAATCCACAGGGAGCCACCCCCACGCTCACAAGAGTACTCTAGAGCTCACCAGGCGACTCCTGCATCCCCAGTCAGTCCCCAGCACACGCCCTACTCTGCATTCTCCAGAAAATAAATATTGATGATATTGCCTCCTACCTGAAATTCATTTCATTCCAGGCTGAAGATGTGACTCTGTGAGTACAGTGCTTGTAGCTTAGGTGGAATAGTGCTTACAGCCCAGTGGGGAGACTGCTTGTGGTTCTGCAGATAGGGTTTTATGTTATTCAGTGGACGGTATTTATAGCTCCGTGGGTAGAGTAGCTCAGTTGATAACAGTGCTTCCATTCAGTGGACAGAGTAGTATAGCTACGTGGGTGAGTGCTTGTGACTCAGTGGGGTAGACTGCCTATTGCTCAGCGGGCAGAGTGCTTGCAGCTCAGTGGATCTCAGACCTAAATTTGCGGAACAGGCCCCCTCTGCTTGGCTGGACTTCTGCACTCATTGCCCTGGACTCGGGGGTGATGCCATGTGTTCTGAGCTGTCACCTGTGCCTCAGTTTACTGTTCAGCACCTTCCTGGCTGGCTTTATGAAAGCCGGTGTTAAATCTGAAACTTGGTGTTAAATTCTCAGTACTGCTAGGGCAGGAGCTCTGTCTGGGTGGGAGTCTACTAAGATGTATGGTCACATGGCTAGCTGTCTTTCAGATCACCAACAGGCTAGCACCTTATTATACACTAGAGAGGAATTGTTGAGGGGGAGTAGGCACCTGGTAGTCCATAGTAACAATAATCCATATCTAGAACCATCTAGGAGACACTTCAGGTCATTACATTGAGGAGGGATGGGGACCCAGAGTGCTTAAAAAGGAAAAAAATATCATTCAGAAACTCATTCAGTCAATCACCAGTCAATACTGTCAGTCACAAGCGTCCATACCTGTGGATGAAATAAGAGCAGCTGTGTCATGCGCCTGTGTCCATTATGTCGTCCCCTCCACAAGCCTTAGCCTCACTGCCACAGGCCTGGTTAGCAGCACTAGAGGAGTAAGATGTGAGATTTGCATAACATTCATGGATATGTAAATATATACTTAGCTACATTGTACCTCGAAGGCCTCCAGCTCCTTCTAGAGCAGTCCCATCCTAGACAGGAAAGGGAGACTGTTCACCCATCATAGATCAGGCTGTTCTCTTTGCAAAGTTCCTAAAGACAGGCACACTGCACAAAGCCCCTCACCACAGCACCAAGTCCCTGAGCACCACCTTCTAATTCCTTGTGGTTTATAGGGGTGAGGCTCATTGTCATTCAAGCCAAGCATCTGCCCCCGATGGAGAGTGAAGGATCATAGGATAGAGGGATGTGTCTGGCTGAAGCACCCAGGAGCTGAACTGGATAGGAAGGGTCTTCCCTGGGGCCTGTGAGTGGTGGGGCTGATGCACTTACACCTTACACTCCTGTGTTTGTTGGGAGAACAACAGGCGAATCTACTCACCCCATGCCATCTTAAACTCCACTAACCTGTGCCATTTTGGTTTAACCCTATGTGCATCATCTTGAACCCCGCCCACCTTCCGCCATCTTAAATCTCACCCAACGTCTACCATTTTGGCTTGACCCTATATGTGCCATCTTGGAGTCCACCAACCCTGCGCCATTTTGACTTGAACCTATGTGCGTCTTCATGAAAGCCACCCACCCTGTACTATCTTAACTGAACCTACCTTCATCATCTTGAATTCTACCCGGCCTGCTTTATCTTAAATAACCTACATGCACCATCTCGAATCCCACCTCTTGGCGGGCATTTTGAATTGTTCACTGACTTGATTTATTCTTTCAGATTACTTTTCCTGACTGTTTACTCCTCAACACTCTCCTAGGACATAAGGTATCCTCAACCCTTAGCTGTGTGTCTGTCCATCTCCTCAGCCGCTGGCATCCTTTCTCGAATCACCAAAGGTGACACTCTGTTGTCCCTCTCTCAGAGGCACTTGTCCTGTATCACTGTGAAGGTGGTTCTAGAGTGAGTTTCAGGATGATTTTGTTTTAGGGCTGGGGCCAGACTGGGATGCCACCCAGGAGGAAAGCAAGAACCTGTCACAACGTCAGTCACACAGGCCCGTGCTTCTTGCTTCAGTCTCCCCTAAGCCTGGGTGCTCTACGCTGAGTCTGACCACACTCTTAGGACAGTACCTTCATTATCTGGAGAAGTTGTGCTTACTGGGGCTTCCTCTGTATTCACTCAAATTGTCATTTTATTTGATCTTTGAAATACGGGGCATTGAATATAGAATCTCGTTTACACTAAGACAGTCCCCTCCTTCTCCCTCTTAAGTCTCCTCATTCCTCCCCCTTTGCTTCCTGAGTCTCCCCTTGTAGCCCAGTCTTTCCTGGAACTCACTGTATAGTCCAGGGTGTCCTCAAACCACTGTTAATCCTTCTGTCCCTGCCTCAGAAGTGCTAGGATTAAAGCCTACCTCACCAGGCCAAGTTTATGCAAAGCTGGGGATTGAGCCCAGGGCTTCATGTGTGCTACACCAAATATATTACTTTCAGTTTTATTTCCTGTCTGAAATAGCCATCAGGTCATCACACTTCCTTTATTTTAAAAAGATTGTCTCCTGAGGTTGAGGGTGTAACTCAGTTGATAAAGTGCTTTTAACTCTGTGGGAAGAGTACTTGTGGCTTAGTAGATTAGCTCTTCTTATGGGAGGCCATCAGTGCTAATGACACATTGATATACCCGACACTTGGCTCCTCCAGGAATATTCTGGGCTGTACTTCCAGTCCACTCTTCTGTTTATTTTCCTTTTGTGAGGCTAGGAATGGAATGTGGGGAAATTTTTTTATTATTATTTTTGAGGGATGGAACCTAGGACCTTGTGTATGCTAGGCAAGCACTCCACTGAGTTACACACCCAGTCCAAGAGAAAATCTTATTAGTGTTATTATCATCCTCATTATTATTATTGTTATTGTGCTAGGTGCTGGGGATGCGGCCAGGGGACTCATTTGTGCCAGGCACGTACTCCAGCACTGAGCTGCACCCCCATCCATACCGCCCAGCTCTTTGAACACATCATGTGCTATATTTGACCTGGGACAAGAATCACCATATTCCAATATGATGGCGAAAAGGGAAAGAACCTGCATGCCTCTACACAGCCTACTGGGATTGTCCCTACTTGCACCCCTTTGGTTACTGATACCCGGTTCTGGGCATCTGGACCACTTTCATGTAACATCTGTGTCCGCTACCCTGGGAGCCTATTACATAAAAATTCATCCCTCCCCCATGCCAGTCATACAGAGAATTACTTTTGGAAGGTTCCAGGTATCATCCATGGATGGGGCACTTGACTACCATTTGTAGCGTGTGCACAGGGCGTGGACAGCATCTTCCTACTCTGAGGTAGTCATTTTTTTAATTGAGGAGGCCACTCATCCTTGTGGCATAGAGGGCAACCTCGGAGTGTGTAAAGGCTATAAAATGGTGTACAATTAATTTGGGTGCTGATGTTTGTTACCTCGCTGCCCCCGTGACCTGGGAGTCACTTTACAGGTCAAGAGACTGTGCTAGAGTGACTGGTGTTAATGACTGGGGCTTAAACATCGAAGATGGAGTGATTTTTATTTTCATCACATAGGAATGCTGGGGCATTCACTGGGATGGGCAGATAACAACATGCATTTGAGTGATTGTGGGTATGCTGTAGTTTACAACCAAGGGATTAGGGGTGGAGGTTGTATAGGGGCAGACAACCGGATCCAGTGACAACACAATTCCTTCTACAGACTTGGAAAAATGGTGTGCAGTGTGTATTAGCTAGCTTTCCATTGCTGTGGAAAAAAATCCCTGACATAATAAAATCATAAAGATGTGTTAGCTCCTGGTCTCAAAGGTGTCTGTCTATAACTCCATTGCTTTGGACCTGTGGTGACACAGAGCATCATGGGAGCAGGTGGTAGAGCAGAGGTGCTCACTACATACTGGTCAGGAAACAGAAGAGGAGACTGGAGTCCCAGTGCCCCATTCAATGACACGTCCCTGATGAGCTAAGTTTCTCCCACTAGGCAGTAAACAGCACCTTGCCCTGGGAGTTTCTGGTACTTTCTTGTTGTCTTTGTTCTGGCAGCTTCTGGCAGTTGGCGCTCTGTTGCACTGTGCTTTTCCACGGTGTTAGGTTTCTCAGCTGCTTTGCCTCTGCAGCTCCCCTGCTCTGTGTAATCAACACCACCAGCTGCCTCTGTACCCACAAGCCGCAGGCACAAGTGTGAAGGAAACAGGTCGGCAGCCATCTGACGCAGAAGCCATCCCGTGGACTGCACATCGCAGTGCATCTGTCAGGCTCTGCTCACACAGTGTATTTTAGACACAAAAGTGATGTGTCCCCCACCAATCAGAAGCACTCACAGGGTTCTAGTGTCGCAGCACTTGCTTTTCTCATTGCTGCCACAAAATGCTTGATAATCAAAATTTAAGGGAGGAGGAATTATTGTGTCCCAGACTGGTGCCAGTCCATCATGGAGACAGGAATATAAATGTCAGGAGCAGAGAGAGGTGACCACTGGGGCTCAGGTCTTTCTCCTCCTCCTTTAATCCGGGAACCCCAACGAAGAAATGATAATGCCCACATTCAGGGTGGGATTTCCCACCTCAGTGATCCCCCCCCACTTCAGTGAGGCCCATATTCAGGATAGCCTGGGGCAGACCCTGCTGAGGTTATTCTAAGAACATTTGGAGCATGCTTACCCCAATCCTCTCTGGAAAAGTGTATGTAAATACTCCCACCCACTTTTCCCATCTGATCCACTCTAGGCCAGTCCTGACTTTAGGATCACTTTTGACTCTCTGTGCCCCCTCCAGTCCTGTGTGTTCTGTGACAGGTGTCTCCTGATTGGTTGGCATCCTTTTCTAAATAACAGAGCTACAGAGATCCATTTTATATCCTAATTAATTTATTGTAAGCTAAGATAGCAGAAGTCAAAAGAAGTGCTTTTGAGGCTGGGCGTGACAAAGCATGCCTTTTTCCCCTTTAATACAACTTTGGTGCTGAACATGGTTCTCTTGGTCATTGGGTTATTCAGCCCACCGTCTAACTGTGGGTGGGTGGGTGTCTTTCTTGGTCCTATGCCTAGCTCTACCTTGCTGTGGGGAACATCCTGCATGTTTGCAAAGATTGGGATTTTATGAGATTTGCTTTTTCTTTCGTTTTTTTTTCTTTTATTTTGGGAGCAGGGGGTTGAGGACAGGGTTGGTTTCTGTAACTATCCTGGATATTCTGGAACTTTCTCTGTAGACCAGGCTGACCTTGGACTCACAGAGATCTGCCTAATTCTGCCTCTAAAGTGTTGGGATTAAAGGTGTGCAACATCACCTTTTCTTTACTACATTATAAGGGTAAGCACTATATGTTGAAGTATCATAAGGCAGAAAGCAACTGTGTTTAAAAGTTGAGATGGGGGCTGGGTATTGGTGGTACACCCCTTTAATCCCAGCGTTTGGGAGGCAGAGACAGGTGGATTTCTTGAGTTGAGGCCAGCCTGGTCTACAGAGTGAGTTCAAGTACAGTCAGGGCTACACAAAGAAACCCTGTCTATAAAAAATGCCAGGATGTGGGAGTGTGAGTGGGTAGTTAGATGGGTGAATGGATGAATAAATTGGGAGGGGGGATGGTTTAGTACTTAGAGTGAAACAGAAAAGAAGGAGTGAGAGGAGAGAGAGGAAGAGATGGATATGGAGCTGGAAAAGGAAAGGAACAAAAGGGGCATAGCTAGAGGTGAGGATGGAGAAAGACGAGGAAAGGAAGAATTAGGAGAGGGCAAATGCTGTTGGGAGAGGAAAAAATGAGGAGATAAAAGAGCAGAGGCAGCTGAGGGGTGGATGGAGGAAGAAAGTGCAGGAAGAGCAGAGAGATTCAAGAAGAGGAACAGAAGCTCCAGGAAGAACTGGAGGAATGAGAGGAAACAAGGGAGGTGATAGAGGTGGAGGACCGAGGAAAAGGTGGTAGAGAGAGCTAGGATTAAAATTACCCCACCAGGCCAGGTGGTGGTAGCACAGGCCTTTAATCCCAGCACTCGGGAGATAGAGGCAGGTGGATTTCTGTGAGTTTGAGGTCAGTTCTGCTATACAGAGCTAGTCCCAAGACAGCCAAGGCTACACAAAGAAACTCTGTCTTGAGAAACAAACAAAAAAAAAAGTACCCCACTAGGAGTCGCGGAGTCTAGTATCTGGGCTTTTCCCGTGACAGTGTTTAAATCATGGCCGACTTGAAATCCAATCTCCAATACATATAGCAGACAATTATTTTTTTAAGTTTTAGTCATTATTATTACTATATGTATGGTTGCATATTATAGCATCCTTGTGGGCATCATAGGAACGTTGTTGAGTGGGTTTAAACCACCCCTGCCCGCCCCACCTTACATGGGTGTCTAGATTTGATCTCAGGTTATCAGGTTTGCAAGGCAAGCCCTTTACCCTCAGAGCCATTTCCCTGGCTGCTTAATTGACAGTTGTGTATAAAAACATATGCATAAAGTCCTCAGTGCTCAAGTAAGTTTCTCTCCCTGTGTCCAGCTTTCAGGTCCCAGGTCAGTATGGTGTTCATTTCTCAGATATGTATGCTTTTCCTGATCCAGGGGAGATTTGACTGGCTGCTTTGTCTTCTTTAAGGCACCGGAACGTTTGGCCGCGTGAACTTGGTGAAGGAGAAGACAGGCAGGAGGTACTATGCCTTGAAGATTATGAGCATCCCGGATGTCATCCGCCTGAAGCAGGAGGAGCATGTGCAGAATGAGAAGGCAGTTCTGAAGGAAATCAACCATCCTTTCCTTGTTAAACTGTGAGTTCCTGGCTCCTTCTTTCTAGATCCCCACTTCTGCAAGGTTATTCTCTCAAGGGGGCATTATCAGGAAGGTGCTGGCTGTAGCTCAGTGAGTAGAATGCTTGCAGCTTACATGATAGAGAGCTTGTCGCTCAGTGGGTAGAGCACTTGTAGTCCAGTTGATTGGTTGCATGTAACTCAGCAGGGAGAGAGTTTGTTGCCCAGAGGATAGAGTGCTTGCAGCCAGCTAATATAATGCTTGTAGCGCAATGGGAAGAGTGCTTGCCCTCACCTAATAGAGTGCTTGTAGCTCAGAGGTATGAGGTAGGAGATGCTACCCGGGTTTTGTCTTGATTTCTTCTTAATTGTGCATGACTGTGTACATCCAAATCATACCCACAGAGGCCAGAACAGGCTGCTATATCCCTTTGGAACTGTAGTTTTGGGTAGTTGTGTACTGCCCAGCCAGGTGTTGGGATGCAAAGTTGCATCCTCCACGGGAGCAGCAAGTGTGCTTAACCGCTGATCCATCCCTCTAGTCTCAACCTATAAATTTTTATAACAACTCCTTTTGTGTGACCTGAATAGACCTTGTGATGCTGATATCAATCTCTTCTTCAATATGATGCACCTGTAGAAGTCAAAGACCTGGATCTTTTATTACAGCATCTAGTCAAGATGACAGAGTAACCTAATTATTCATTCATAATTTTCATCTAAAACTCAACTGGTGATTTTTATCAATGTTAAAACCCTTTTTTGTATTTTAGAAATACATACACATTTATGTAACATATTTTATATATATGTGGAGATCAGCGGATAACATCTGCCATTGTTACTTAGTTTGCACTAAGAGTTGGAGACAAGGTCTCCTGCTGGAACTCAGCAAGTATGACTGTCCCGTGAGCCCAGGAGAGGGTAAATTACCCGGCATGACATCATTGAAATACCACCACATGATAGCCATGTCATTCTAGAGTGTTCCATCTTGTTAGAACATCATAGAGGTACACTATAGTCAAAATTCATTAGAATAGCATAGAATTAGAGTATCAGAGTTTGGAGAGAGGACTCAGTGGTTAAAAGCATCTGCTTCTCTTGCAGAGGACCCCAGTTCAATTCCCAACCCTCACCTTGCAACACACAGTCCTCTATAATTCTAATTCCAGGAGATCCTATGCCCTCTGCTGGCCTCTGTGTCTGCTGTACTATTATATGTACACACACACACTTAAACACACAGATATAAATAAAATACAGAGAAGTATTTTTTAAAAATTTAAAACACAAGGACCTTAAATTATACATGAACTTAAATATTAGCCAAAATGGGTTCCTCTTGGTGGAAACACCAACTAAGGCTCATCCCTCTGTATCTGTCCCAGTCCTCCTTCTTATGAGGACTCAGTCCTGTTAAGTCAAATCTATCCCAGAGACATTATTCTACCTGTTTCCCCATAAAGACCCGGTTCCACACACAGTCCTGTCCCAAGGTCTTGGGTGTGCAGACTTTTAACACAGAAATTTTGGAGGAATGAATCCTGAGTGGTTAAGTCAGACTAGACATCTCCACCCACTCCTGTGTGACTACACATTCCTTATAGGAATCTTTTCTTGCTTTTATATATTTTGCATTCATAGGACTCAACAGGCAGGTTAAGAACTAGGTTAAAGTTCACTTAGTGTTACAGGGACTTGGAGTACTTACAGCCTGGCAGAACATGCCGTGTATCTGCCCAGCTGTGGGAACACAACTTACGCGGGCCTTTGAACTTTCAAGGATGATGTGCATGCTGCTGGAGATCTTCAGGGTCATCATCCTGCTTGTGTGTGTCAGCTGTGAATGTGGAGTAGTCTGTTTGTCTTGAACAGTCATGGGATGCATAGTGAGAATGGCTTCAAACAGCTGATAGGACTCTCAGTTTGTATTGCTGCAGGGATCTGGGCTGTACCGTTGACAGTTAAAGCTAACCAGGGCACATACATATATTTGCACCTTTTTGTGTATTTATCTTTATATCTGTATTTATACTTTGATATTTGTATATAGACACATGTTAGTGTCTGTATACACCAGTATATTAACGGGAACATCTACCTCTGTATATCCAGAGTCTGCACACATGTCTTGCCATCCGTGTCTATCAATCACCAACATCCATCTGCATCTACATCTGAGCACCTACCTCAACACCCATCATGCACTCTGTTGCGTCTTGCAGGTTCTGGACTGGCCATGACAACCGCTTCCTGTACATGCTGATGGAGTTCGTGCCTGGTGGTGAGCTGTTCACTTACCTGAGGAACCGTGGCAACTTCTCCTCAGTTGCAGCCATCTTCTACTCCACAGAGATCGTGTGTGCCATCGAGTACCTGCATTCCAAAGACATCGTGTACAGGGACCTAAAGCCTGAAAACATCCTTCTAGACAGGGAAGGGCACATCAAACTCACTGACTTTGGCTTTTCGAAGAAGCTGGTGGATAGGTGAGTGGGAACAATCACAGGGTCATCAGAGGTTGATCGACAATTGAAGGTTTGAGTTAGGTGGGTGAACAGACATAAGCAGAAGATGCACAGTAGGCTCTGGTGTGATGCACCCCTCCCTCCATCCATCTAATTGGGTATCCTATTATTTTCTTACTAATGTTGTTAAACACTCCTAAAAAAGTTTTTTAAGGAAGAATGGGCTTATGTTAGTTGGTTCCTGGTCCCATCATGGGATCACGTGCCAATAGGACCATGTGTAGAGGGGCAGCTGCTCACATTGCAGCCACATACAGGAAGAGAAAATAGGAAATAAGGCAGGGTTCTCAAACCCTGAGCTCACCCCCTGCTGGGCACCAAGTGTTAAAATACCTGAGTCTGTGGGGAGTAGTCCACACCCAGTGTACAACTTTGGGAGTGGTGGTGTCCCTCCAGGTTGTGAGCAAAGGAGAAAATCATTCTGTTATAAAAGTGGTTGAATTTTGTTCTGGAAAATTGTAATAATGTCCATGTGTGAATAACTTTGTATTTGAATATATGTGCATACGCAAATATATTTAAATACATATCTATGTTACACGTACATTTGTACAGTTTATATGTTTACGTACATGTATGTAGGCTTACATATATACACATACATGTAGATTTTACACACACAAGCATATGTTCTGGGATACTATAGCTAGGTAACATGTTAGTTCCATTTTTATTGTTTTTCAAGATAGTTTCTCTGTGTAACAGCTCTGGCTGTCCTGGAACTTACCTTGTAGACCAGGCTGGCCTTGAGCTCACAGAGATCTGCCTGCCTTTGCCTCCCAAGTGCTGGGATTAAAGGCGTGTGCCAGCACCGCTAGGGGGCAGTTTGATTTTTAATGCATTTTTTGCCTCAAGATGTATTGTATGTGTGTGAGTGAGTGAGTGTGTGTGTGTGCGTGCACGTGCACATACATGCACATGCGTTACCCACAGAGATCATAAGAGGGCATTGGATCCCCTGGAACTGGAGTTACAAGTGAATGCCTGCAGTCATGTGGGTCCTGGGTACTGAACCCAGGTTCTCTGCAAGAGCAGCCAGCCCTCTTAAGGCTGAGCCACCTTTCCAGCCTCCATCTTAGTGTTTTCTATTTATAGAACTCTTTCCTTAGGGTCCTTTGCTCAGGGCTAAGGGAGCTCCTTGTAGATAATGAAGAAGATGGTATCACATTCCTCTTAAGCCATAGAGTGGGGGTGGGGTGGGGGGGGGAGAAGGCTTCACATTGAGGGAATCAGGCACTTTGCAGCCTCAGCAGGGTATCTCTGTGCCAGGGACAGATTCTCTGTGGTCCCAATACTAGCAGAGTGTGCTAAATACCCTTGACCAACCAGAAAACCATTGGGGTATATTTGAAAAAAAAAAAAAAAAAAAACTGATTGCCTGTAGAGAGTTTCAAGGCTGTAGAAAGAAGTCAGGCCCAAGGCTGTAGAAATTTCCACCTAAGGCATGCAAACCTCCAGCCTGGAGCAGACACAGAAAGACTCAGCTTTCAGCCCCGTAAGTGGAGCTCTCTCAGGTCCAGTTACCTGTGGCCTCATCAGCTACTGTGCTCTATCTACCCTGATCTTGTTCTAACTGAGTCAGGCTACAAGGATCGAAATCTGAGTTAATGGGCCCAGAAGCACACAGGAGCCAGTGACTGACTGGCTCCTAGTGTATTCCATCGGGGAGGGGTGTGAGGCAAAGGGTGTGTGTGCACCCCAAACTGGATGAGCTTGAACTCCTGATCCTTGTGCCTTAACCTCCCGAGTGCTTTGATGACAGGTGGGCATCTCCATGTCCTGTTTCCACTGGGACTAGAACCTGGGCCCTGTGTCTGCTAGGCAAGCGCTCTATCCATTCAACTACACGCTTCCCACCCACAAAGCTGTCGGCACTCTACTCCCTGACCTATAGTTCCATCCCTGCATAGGCATCTGAGTTGAACTGCACAATCCCTTGCACCAGGTCCGGATCCATTATTTACAGATTCTGGGCCTGAGTCCCTTCTGTCCATTTCACTTGCAGGACTTTTCTCCCCGTCTATTCCCTGCTCTGTCTGGTTCGCTGCACAGAGGTTTTTAGTGTTGTGCCCTCCCACTGCCAACCTTCCTGAGCCACTAGAGTCCTTTTCAGAAAGTCCTTGTGCTGTGACTTGTGCAAGTCCCCTGCAACTGGAGTTACAGGTGCTTATACCACCACCACGTGGATGCTGGGGATCACAAGAACAAATACTCTTATTCACTGAGCCATCTCTCAAGCCCCCCCCCCTTTTTTGTTTTTTCTAGACAGGGTTTCTCTGTAACTTTTGGAGCCTGCCCTGGAACTTGTTCTGTAGACCAGCCTGGCCTCAAACAGAGATCCGCCTGCCTCTGCCTCCCGAGCGCTGGGATTAAAAGTGTACTCCACCACTGCCTAGCTCAAGCCCACTTTTTAAAAAATGATTTATTACATTTATTTATTTTGGATGGGGAAATGTGCCGTGGTGCATAGGTCAGAGGACAGCTTGCAAGAGTTAGTGCCCTCCTGCCTCCATGTGGGTCCCAGGAATTGAACTAAGGTTCTCAGGCTTGACACAAGTGCTTTGACCCACTGAGCATCTGCCTAGGGTTTCAAGCATGCTATGCCAATGCTCTCTCCACTTTGCCATGGCCCCAGCTTCAGGACATTTTCATCATGTGTAAACATGAACCTCTCCACACGCCCGTCATTTGCCCCTCACAGCCCATTGGTGTACATTGTACCTCTCTACATCTTCCTGATCTACACACTTCATACACACACAACATCATTGCAATATTTTTTCCTTTTCATGTCCAACTTATGCAATGGCCTCTTTATCTATGTAGTGCCACCTTCCAGCTTACCATTCTTTTCATTGCCGAATAATATTCCATTTTAGAGTTTGACCACATGGCATTTATTAAACATTATATAGCTTAATTTCTTTTTTAGTTGAATCTTTCTTTTGAAAATTGAAACAATCAATTTTCTTATATGTTCTACAGTTTGCAGATGTCAGCAGCTGTTTTCTACACCAATTGGCTGTTTTTAAATATAAATTAAGGCTGGGTATGGTGGCACACACCTTTGATCCCAGCACTCAGCAGGCAGAAGCAGGAGGATCTCTGTGAGTCTCAGGTTGGCCTGGTCTACACAAGTGAGTTCCAAGATAGCCAGGTCTGTTACATAGAGAAATGTTTTCTCAAAATAAACAAAAACTCAGAAGTCCTGATGCTCCTGCCTCCGCCTCCACATCTCTTTATGCCATGCTGGAAATTGAACCCAGAGCCTACTGCACGCTGGGCATGTGCTCTCCCAACTGAGCCACATTCCTAGCCCCATCACTAATTTTTTTTAAAAGAATGTGTAGGTTGAACCTAACGTCTTTATTTTTTTATATTTGTTTATTTATCACATACAGTATTCTGACTGTATTAACCCCTCACACCAGAAAAGGGCACCAGATCTCATTACAGATGGTTGTGAGCCACCATGTGATTGTTGGGAATTGAACTCAGGTTCTCTGGAAGAGCAGCCAGTGCTCTTAACCTCTGAGCCTTCTCTCCAGCCCCATCGCTAATGTTAAAGATGATTAATACTGATTATTGATTCTGCATATTGATTTGCCTATCATCTCCCACTCTCTCCTTCCCTAGTATGCTTTCCACTACCTTCAGTTCTGTTTGTTTGTTTGTCTAATTATGTGTATCTGTGTGTATGTTCATGTGAGCACAGGACTAGCAGGGGCCAGAAAATGATCATGAGTCCATTAATTAAATTATGTGTAAGTTAATGCAAGGAAGACATTCAGTGAAGAACATGTCACTACAGGGTCAGTTTATAATATCACCATAGATGAGGCAGCTGGGTGTGGTAGTCCATGCCAACCACGGGAGTAGGCAAGTTTGAGGCCAGCCAGGACTACAAACTAGGAAAAGAGCTTAGATTCAGGAGTGTTTATATTATCATCGTCATCATCATTATTGTGTGCATACTGAATGTTTGAGCACATATTTGTCACAATGCAGGTGTGGAAATCATGGGACAGCCTTTTACAGTCCGTTTTCTCCTTCTGTTTCTTATGTGGATTGATCTTAGGCTTGTGTGACTTTACCAGCTGAATACCCAAAGTGTGGATTTCCTTGGCTTTATGAAACAGGTTCGTCTACCTAGGCCAACACGCTGGTCTGATGTGGAAAATCCTTTACTGAAACCCTTCCCAGGGGATTCTGGGATATGTCAGTTGACAGTTAAGTTCACATAGCATCCCAGTGTAGAAAATGGGTCTGCCCACAGTGAATATGGCTTGTGCCTCAAATATTTTCACATCATGAAATCTTAGACTTGTCACATCAGTGGGTGTTCAGAAAGGTTTAGATTTTGGAGCATCTTGGTTTTTTTCAGGTAGGAATATTCAATTTATGTGGCCACCCGTCAGTTTTCTGCATGGTGACCGTACTTGCAACTTGGTCTTCATGAACCCTATGTTATAGCACCTTCCAAATTTCATGGATTCTGCTTCTGTCATCCCCCATAGGACATGGACTCTCTGTGGGACACCAGAATACCTTGCCCCAGAAGTCATTCAGAGCAAAGGCCATGGGAGAGCCGTGGACTGGTGGGCACTGGGCATCCTTATATTCGAGATGCTGTCTGGGTGAGTGGCCCTCCTGAATGCAACCGGACACACACGGTGTCTCCTTCACACCCCACACAGTACCTTGAATCTCCTTTCTGACACTTGGCACATGGACATACTCACTGCACTATCAAGATTTGGAGGGTATTTAGTTTTCTATAAACCCAGTATTTAGTTTCCTTAAACAAGAATTTAAATTTTCATAGACATTCATAGTTCCCTATGTGTAACATCCATCTTATTTGTGGGATGACACGTGAGGCTGAGCAGTACCCACAGTGAACAAATGATATGAGTCCAACAGCGTAGTAGTGATAGAAGAGCAGATGAGAAAGGCGATGTTGGGCTCTGGTTTTTCACCACCCTAAATTGCCTTTCTTGGCCATGCATAGAATGTGGGAGTTATGGGCTTTGTTTGTCTCCCACTTGCCTGGAAGGTTGATCATTCCTGAGGGTCACTATTATCTGTCAAGTCTCGTATACACTTGAGAAAATTGTATAAACATAGAAAACGAGATGTCCACAGATCTAGGTGTAGGCTGGAAGAATTGGAGGCCAATACCCTGACAGTGTTCACCTGTGTAGACTTAGAGTCACTGGCTCCTGCTGGGGAAGTGACCGTTATCTCAGCCCCACAGGTTGTTCTCTGGTGCCTAGATAAAGGAAAGTTCATCCTTTGTGGATCAAACCAAGTATTTAAAAAAAAAAACAGCTTGCAGGAGGATTTTACTAAAATAGTATGAGATTTGTCAAGAAGGAGCATCCACCTACCCACCCACCCATACATACATACGTATACTCATCCAACCATCTATTCATACATCAGCCCACCAATCCATTCATCTGTCCATCCATCCATATACTCAACTTATCCACACACCTACCCATCCATCCATCCACCCACCAGTCATCCATCCCCCAACTCATCCATCCACTTACCCACCCACTCATCTACCGCATCCATCCACTCTTCCAGCTCCTGGAGGCTCCAGGTATGCTTGGCTTTTGTGGCCTCTTCAATCCCATCTTCACATGGCTTCTCCTGTGGCTCTGTATCTGTTCTGTCTTGAGGTTACGGTTACTACATCTAGAGTCATCCTTACTCAGGATGGACTCATGTCAAAATCTGTCACTCATTCTCTAGGTAAAGACCCTATGTGCAAATGGATCCCAGTGATGTGTTCTGGAAAATTTGTACATATTGTCTGTGTGTGTGAACAATACATGAAATATAGTTTCTTTGAAATTTATACATGTAAACCACATTTACTTATATCTACAAAATGTATAATATATAACATAATTCATAAGATACACACACACATACGCACGCACACACATACACAAGGAAATGCTTTAAAATCAATATAAAAATTTTTTTTCATGTCGTACTGATTGTGAAGAAGAGCCTGGGGTCCCAATATCTTTTTGAAGGGCACATCTCCAATAACCTAACTTTCTGCTACTAAGCCCCACCTCTCAAAGGTTTATAACTGTCAGTTCCACCCCCTGCTGGGGATGAAGTCATCAACAGAGGCCCTTTGGGGGGTCATCAGGACCCTCTATGCTTTCCCTGTCTTCCTGTGGCTACACTGCCTCCTGAGAGCATCTGCTTGCCATCTGTCTTCACATGGCCATGTTGCCAGTTTGTCAAGCAGTGGAGCCATCTGACACAAATTATTTTTTGCCTCCATTAAGCAAAAATAATTGGCACAAAGTAGACATAATTCTGTATTTAATTCTGCTAAAAATACACACTTCTCTCTGCAACAGGTTTCCCCCATTTTTTGATGACAACCCATTTGGGATTTACCAGAAAATTCTTGCGTGCAAAATAGATTTCCCCAGACATTTGGATTTCACCTCTAAGTAAGTGCACTTGCAATTTCCTGCCCTGTCCCTGTGTTTATTTTCAGCGCTTTGTGAAATAATACTGAAAGCACACACTCCTGGCAAATTCTCTGATTTATTACATATGCCAACCACTTTTCCCACCAGGAAGGGAAAACTTTTCGTTTTACTGAAATATAATATTTGAAAGACTTGTTATATATCTCATTCCTTTTGAGATAGAATGTGTTGAAATTCATGCAGATTTGGAGCCAATTGTATAAGTGATCACTCTGTCCATCAATCCATCCATCCATCCACCCATCCATCCATCCATCTAATTTATTAGTTATTAATTTATAGTTGAGTGAGGGTCCTATTTTGTAGCCCTAGCTGTCCTGGTACTGCTGTGTAGATGAGGCTAGCCTTGAACTCATAGATATTATCCCCCTGAGTTCTGAAATGAAAAATGTGCAACTCACAGAGATCCGCCTGCCTCTGCCTCCCGAGTGCTGGGATTAAAGGCGTGCACCACTATCACCCGGCTAACTTTATAAGTTTTTAAACTTTTTTGAACCACTAAGAAAAGAGGGGCTTAGTGGGAAGAAGTTAGGTTATTGGAGATAGGCCCTTGAAGGAGATGCTGGGGTCCTAGGCTTTTCTTCATGATCACTTCAATGTGTAAATATGGTATTTTTATTAATGTTTTGACAATTTCATACACATGTATGGTATATTTTGCTGAGATTGGTTTATTAGTTAAGCTAGAAAGGCAAACCTCTGTGGCTCCACAAGTGTTCTTTTTTTCCATCTTTTTCTCTTTATGAAATTGTATTCATCATAAAGAATTATGTACAAGGTCAACATGTTGCTTAAAAAACATTTGCTCAGCCAGGCGGTGGTGGTGCACGCCTTTAATCCCAGCACTCGGGAGGCAGAGGCAGGCAGATCTCTGTGAGTTCGAGGCCAGCCTGGTCTACAAGAGCTAGTTCCGGGACAGGCACCAAAGCTACAGAGAAACCCTGTCTCGAAAAACTTAAAAAAAAAAAAAAACATTTGCTCAGTATTCATACTGACCATGCATTTCATGAAGACTATGGTAAAATTAGTGGAAAAGAAAAAAGAAGGGTTAAAAATATATATAAATACCTTTAACTTTCCTTGATTTGAATGTGGTTAAATTTGAGCATTTTCTAACCAGAATGAGCCTTCCTCTCCAGTCGTTTATTTTTTTCATTTAGTTAATTAGGAAGAAGGGTCCACATAGTTCAGAACTTCTGATCCTCCTCTTTTAGCCTCCCAAAGGCAGGGTGACAGACAGATTTGTGCTACCTGTATCCAGACTATGTAATACAGCAGATGGAACCCAGGGCCGGGTGAGCACTGTACTCACTGAGTAGAAGCACTCAACCAACTGAGAAAAAGCATTCTGCCCACTGAGCGACAAACCCTCATCCAATTTAACTGCAAGCTCTCCGCCCGCTGTGTTACAGCCACCCTTTCCACTGAACTACAGTCCCTCTTGGATATTATTATGGGTGCTATGGATTGCAGGATATTTGTGTGCACGTGCGCGTGCGCGCGCACACACACACACACACACACAGCATCCCATCTCCACCCTGCCTTAATTTCTCCAAGTCTTTGATTTACTGCACCTCACTGTCCTTTGCATTCTCTGTCTTTTATCCACAATAAAGACACAGCAAGGTGGCTGGTGTTGGGGATTTTATTCAGCAGCTGTGCTGGGGCTGCAAACTCGGTCTCCCTAGACAGACCTGCGTAAACGAACACAGGAGTGGGGCTGCAAATCCGCCTTGTCAGTTACACAGGAGGAAACAATGCTGGGTTGCAGGCAAATTCCCTGGATGGAGGGCTTGTGGCTTAGTGGGCGGAGTGCTTGTAGTTCAGAGTACTTATCGGCAGAATTGGCTGGGTGCTGGTTGTCCAGTGGGGAGAGTGCTTATACTTCAGTCAGTAGAGATTTTGTACCAATTTTCTACCATTTGAGTACTTGGTAGTTGAACACTGCGTAGAGGACTTGTAGCCCAGTAGTCAGAGTGCCTGTGGCTCAGTGGGTAGAGTACCTGTCACTCAGTAAGTTGTGCTGGTGCCTCTGTTGACATGCCCTGAGACCTGGGCTTCGTCCCTCACTGTGTAAATGGTACACACGTCTGTAGCCCCGGCATGTAAAAGGCAGAAGCCAGAGGTCAGGGGTTGAAGGTTAGCGTTAAGAGTGGGAGCCCAGGATGCAAGCAGCCTACCCACCCTGCCCCCTGCAAATGCTTTCCCTATGGACACTCTGTGCAAGTGCAGGTGAGGTTGGCGCCTGTGTTGATTCTGGCATTTTCCATATCTAAGTGGAGTCTGCTCCATTCATGCAGAGACCTGATCAAGAAGTTACTGGTGGTGGATAGGACCCGGCGCCTGGGCAGCATGAAGGTGAGTCATGCCAGAGTGTTCCAGTTTGCACACTGATAGTAACATCATCTGCTCAGGGTGTTCCAGACCATGCTCAGTGTTCGTTATTTTTGTGGTTTGTTTATTTGTTTTTATTAATTCTGTGTATATACTACCTGAGTATATCACCGGCCACAGTGGGCAGAACACACCCTGCTGCTGCAGTTATAGGTTGTGGGTGCTGCAAACCAAACCTGGGTTCTGTGCAAGAGTAGCCATCTCTCCGACCCGTTTTGCTGTTTTCATGTAGCCCAGGCTACACGGTAAACTATGTAGCTGAGAATCACCTTGAACTTGTGACCCACCCACCTCTACCTCCCAGAGCAGGGATGACAGGCTTGCAACACTTCTCATGGTTGACTTATTATTCTTTGTTAGAGTTTTATTATTATTTATTTGCTTGTTTTTTCTTATTTGTTTGTTTTTGAGGTGGGGTTTCCCCAAGTAGTCTGGCTGTCCTGGAACTCTCTGTGTAGAGTAGACTGACCTCAAACTTTACAGGAATCCACCTGCCTTCCTTCCCAGAGTGCTAGAATTAAAGGCATATGCCATCACATCTGGCCACTTATTTTTTTAATCTGCTTTATTGGAGAGAGACTTTACAAATACTACCACACACACACACACACACACAGTTTTTCTAAAGCTTTTTACTGTATATGTTTATTCTCAAGAACGGGGTAGAAGACATCAAGCGGCACCGATGGTTCCGGGGTGTGGAGTGGGAGTCAGTGCCACAGAAAAAACTCAAGGTAGGACTATCATACACCCTTAAACTAAATGAACCCCTCCGTATCCTAGCCTAACCATCCACCAAGTTCCCACTGCTGTGTCTCAGTCTTAAAAATTAATTTGGCAGAGATTTATTTAGTGATTGTCTCCATGTATGTGTATTAGTTTATGTACACCATGTGACTGCAATACCAGGGTGGCTTCAGCCCCTCCCTGTAAAATTTACATTCTGAGTGACTCAGCTGCCTGGTGTTACCATTCCCCGTGGGCCATGCAAACATTACTGTCAGTCAACAAAAGTATTCGACTTCCTCACATTTCTGCATAATGGTGCTTCCCTTATTTATTTTGTGTGACCCTTAGCCACCTATTGTACCCAAGTTATCGGGTGACGGCGACATCTCCAACTTTGAGACTTATCCAGAGAGTGAATGGGACAAGACCCCCCCTGTGTCTGATAAAGAACTGGAAACGTTCAAAAATTTCTGAGGAACGGGAACCCACATCCGCAAGGTGAAACTTTTGTATTTCTGAATTTTAAGGTAGGCTGTCATATAGCCAAGGATAGCCTTGAACTTACCATGTAGTCGAAGAAAATAACACTCTGTGCAGCTGAGGATGGTGAGTTAGCCAGTCTGCAGGATTTCTTAAAATGATTGACAGGTCAGTTACTAGTAGATATTGCCAATCACTTAACCCCCCCCCCCCCCCCCCGCTTTCTTTTTTTGTCTGCTAGGAGCATGAAGAATTCCACGCAGTGCCGAGGACCAGAACCATTTTTGTTGCTTGACTTTATTGTTTTTCCTGAAAAACTAGAAGGATTCGGTATGTGTATCCACTACCCATTCAAGGCTAACGGGATCATTGCCCTCAGGACCCAGCCTCATTTTCAAAACTAGAAACCTGCCCGTTGGGAAGTTTGTAAAACCTGTTAAATTGTAGATTTTTTTCCCTTCTTTGTGAGTCTTGTGTTCGTGCTGTGGAGTTAGATATTGTTGTTTCGCTACTGAATTTCGTAAGTTTGAATTTGACCCATTTAATTCTAGCTGTCACTGTGTATGTGCACAGACAATGTGCAAAACTGATACTTTGATATGCCTGGGACATGTTTATTTTCCAAAGCTTTCTGAAAAATCTGTCACCCTGCAGGCAAAAAAAAGGGGGGGTGCGATATATGCATTTTCAAAATGCTTTTCTATGCATTTTGCAGTCATTTGTGTGCATTGTTTGTTTAGTTTCTCTCTGGTCATTATAAACTTGGAAGGCAGGAAGCCACATGCCCTGCAGACCCTCTTTCAAATATGGCACAAACAGGTGACTTGCCGCAGTTTACACGTTTCTAGTAAAATATCCTTTCCTAAAGTTAAGCCAGAACTTTGTATAATGCATTAACCACTTGGCATCCTGAGTGCAAAGATTGCCTTTTTATGATAATACAAATTTATTCACATTCCCAAAAGGGAACTTTAAGGATCCACCCCTCAACTCCCTCCTCTGTTGTAAATGATATTTTCTTCCCACCAAACTTAATCCTGTTCTTCCAGCCTTGTTCATCTGTAAAAACTCAGGTTCCAGGCTGGTAACTTTTTTTTTCTTTTTTTTCTTTTTTCTTTTTTATTTTTATTTTATTTATTTATTTTTTTGNGACAAGAGTTTCTCTGTGTAATGGGCCTAGCTGTTCTGGAACTAGCTCTTGTAGACCAGGCTGGCCTCAAACTCACAGAGATCCGCCTGCCTCTGCCTCCCAAGTGCTGGGATTAAAGGTGTGTGCCACCACTGCTCTGCTGGGCTGGGAACTTTTATGAACGTTTGTACAGAGCTGTATTTTCATTGAACTTTCTCAGCCCTTTCCAGTATGCAAAATAACTGGGTTAAGTACCACAAACAAACATACACAGGAGATAGAACTCAAGATTATAATCAAGCTGGGCGGTGGTGGCGCACACCTTTAATCCCAGCACTCGGGAGGCAGAGGCAGGCGGATCTCTGTGAGTTCGAGGCCAGCCTGGTCTACAAGAGCTAGTTCCAGGACAGGAACCAAAAGCTACGGAGAAACCTTGTCTCGAAAAATCAAAAAAAAAAAAAAAGATTATAATCAAGCCCTGTGAATACGCACGCTGACCCACATAGGTGCTGTCTTCATTTGATATAAGTAGGAAATAATATAAAATTAGCGTAGGAAACATCGCCTTAATTCTAAACATACGGGGAGATCACACATATGCACATGCATCCACTGTGTGCTCTTATTTAACAGTTTGACCCCTGATCCTAAAAATAAAATTAAACACCCTTATAAATTATATCATGTGATGTCATTGTAGTGACATCAGGTAGTGCGTATGAATCATGATTTTTATTTTAATATTCTTAATGTGTGTGCATGTGGCTTCAGTACATACGGGGCCAGCAGAGCACTCCAGAGACTCTACAGCTGGACATACAGGCGATTGTGTGCTGCGCTGTCCATGTTGGAATGGATAAAGGAACTATGTCCTCTTCCTGCCTCTGAGTCCAAGGAGAACTGTGCACCCAGCACCTTCTCTTAAAGCAATGGGACAGTTAATGAATTTCAAATTTCTCTGATGGTTCGTTGACTTGAACCAAGTATAAAAGATAATCAGTAACGACTACTAATTTAAAATCAAATCCCCATGCACTCCAATCAAGACTAATTTGTGTGTGTGTGTGTGTGTGTGTTTAGTAGCTATAAAGTACTAAATGCTGCGGAATGGTGCTCACCTCACCTAATTAACTGTTACATGTTACACTGTAAAACGTGATTTGACGGCTAAATACTGTTCACAGGACCCTCGGGCTGTGCTTATATCTCAACATTGGACCAAAACATAGCAGTCAATCACCACTGTGTTGCTCAGTGAACCCTAGGCAAGATTTAGCATTGTGTGGGGCTCTATGTTGGAATGAAAAACTGGAGAAAGGGTCTTTCACTTCTGGCTGTATATTTTGAGGTGTGTTGATTTCCTGGGTTGTGTGTGTGTGTGTGTGTGCGCGCGCGCGTGTGTGTGTGTTTTGTTGTTTTTGATGAAGCTACATAGGGAGCATTGATGAATGCCTGACACCTGTCATTCTTGTTTCCCACACACGCTGCAAACCACCTGAAAATGATGATGCAAAGTCAAGGTTTTTGTATGAGTTGGTTTCTCCCATCTGTGTGTGTGTGTCCATGTCCCTACCCTTGCTCGTTCCCATCAAATCTGCCTTGCAAACCTCACAGCCTTGCATCCAACTGCACACTGTCATTTCCATGGGGGTGTGGGTGCTCTAGCTGGCTATGTAACAGATATCCTTACTTGTGTAACTTAGGGAAAGTTAGCGGGAGCAGGAGCCTTCCCGGCCCTCCTGGTCCTCACAGGTCAGACTCAAACCCCCTTGGCAACCTCAGTTCTTCTCCCAGTGTGGGGATTCACCACTCGACCTCCTGATGGAACAGGTGTCGCGTACACTGTGCAGGTGTGTCCCACTGCTGAGCACTTGCTGGCTCATCTGAAATTATCACCTGGAATGAAAAAGCCTGGTCTTTCATCTTACTTTCTAATCCTGCTGCACAATTTAAAAATCACTGTGATTTGTGTATATATCTATCTATATCTTTCTATATATATTTGCCCCCAGGAAGATTTTTCTGCTGTCTAATTTATAAAATAATACTATTGAGTCCAGGTTTGTTTAATAAAAGTTTGTATGTTAAGAAATCTGTCTCAGGTCCTTCCTTGGCTTTTCCTGTAATCCGGGTTAACACTATAGAACAAAAGTGGTTAATGACCAAAGTGGTCTAGTCACCAGTTGGTGACCATTCTCAGAAGCAGAACTGAAGATGCTCAAATAGTCAGGTTTATCAAGGAAGTGGGTATGTACCCCTGTAGCAGGGGCTGATGATTGTTTCCATGAAAATTAGCACACACACACACACACCCCAGGGTTTTTCTAGTGTTAAAAACTGCAAACAGCATAAAGGGGAGGAGGGGCCTAACCTAGTCAGGGGGAAGAGTGAGCAGGGAGTGGTGGGGCTGCATGAACCTAAAACACCTGCTGGTACAGGAAGATTTTTTTTTCCCAAGGGAGAGTAGAAGCCACCTGGAGTTAACTAAGTGCACATGCTACCAGAGGCCAGGATTCAGCCTCTCAGAGGCGTGAATGCTTCCTTCTTCAGCAGCTAAAAAACAACTTTTCCTATTGGCACACGGAAAGCACCCTTCCTAGCCAGCCTCAACTTGGCTTGATGGTCACGTTCAGTAATCGGCACCCAGAACACTGAGATAGGACAATGTTGGCAGCCAGTCAAAGCTAAACAGCAAGACAGTTTCAAAGAACAACAAACAAGCCAGACCTCAGTTGGAGGCCTCAGAAACTTCACACCCAGAGTGGCTCTAAATTAACAACACTATTTAAAAAATAATAGTGATTGCACTACTAGGTCAAGCCGAATTAGCAACTTTCATTTTTTGTAAAAATATCTGTTAAAAGTTTCAATCTGTATACAAATATATAATACAACCTAATTAGCTACGTTAAATACTACAAACTAATGTGAGTCAGATGGGACAGGAAAACCACATTTAAGCTTGAAGAATCATTTTTCTCGCCATATTAGCATTTTCTCAAATACATGGGGAATATGAGGTGATGATAAGGTGCATGGAACAGGGCCCCCAAATCACATGTTTGTGTGTGTGTGTACATAAAACTTCTAACACAGGTACTGGGCCTAGCACTACTGAGAGAAGGTCCCCACTGTCGTGCCTTGGTCAGAAGTTGGTAAACAGTAAACAATGCCAAGCCCAAACCACAGAAAATCATTGGTAACATGACATCTGCAGCAAGGTTGCCAAATCACAAACATCCTAAGTAATTGTCTCATAAATTTCTTTTAAACGATTTTTTTTTTTAGAGTCTATTCTCCCCAGTAGCTGCTCGTTGAAATCGGCACTGCAGCCGGCACAATCCATGAGCCAATTCCACTGCCCCAGGAACTACAAGGGTTTGAAAACCTTTTGGTGGGGTGAGGAAGGGTTGGGCGCTGGAGAAGGTGGTTCTCTGTGTAAAGCATGTAGACTTTCGACACTCCTATAAATATAGAAACATCACCTGGAGTTCTACCACATCAATGGGCCCCCTGGCAGGCCCAGTTGGGAGGCATGGAAACGGGTGGTTGGAGCATTCCTGAGGCAGCAGGCGCCAAAGGCTGTGGGCTAGGATGTGACCTGCCTACAAGTGGATGGATCACTCAGAGCAGCAACCCCAGATGGGGATAGGAAGGGAAAGGAAAAGAGTGCGGCATCAAGGGAAGGCTGGGAACTCAGGCTCCTCCTGACTGTGGAGGGCGGGGATCAGGCCAGGAGGAGGTGGAGCTTCACACCCTCCCTGTTCCCTGTTCTCAAGAGATTCCTAGGAGGAGACTGGCCCACGCCCACGGAGGGGAGAGACAGGCCCTGACTGGAGAGGAAATGCCCTGAAAAGCAAACAGTCCTAGTAGGCTCATGTGTCTTATAAAAGCTTATATTGAAATAGGTCCTTGTTTTGTTTCAGCTCAGCTGTTTTTTGGGTTTTTTTTTTTTTTTAAATATTGTCTCATTACAAAGCCCAGAGCAGCTTAAAGCTCAGGTTGGCATCAGGCACAAATACTGTGATTACTTTTTTTTTTTTACTTTTTGGTTAGGTTTATTCATTTTATGTCTGAGTGTTTTCTCTGCATGTATAACTGTGCACTGTGTGCATGTTTGGTGTCCACCAACGTCAGAAGATGCATCAGAGCCCCCCGGAACTGGAGTCAGGGATGATGAGACGGATGGTTGTGAACTACTACATGCATGGGTGCTGGAAATCAAGCCTGGGGCCTCTACTAGAGCACCCAGTGATCTGAACCTCTGAGCCATCTCTCCAGCCCCTAAATGCTGGGATTCTAATTTGGAACTTCCCAGCAAAACAGTGGAAACGAATGTTAAGGTGTGCCCTGCATGAATATGACTCAGAATGAGGTAGTTGATTCTGTCTTGTAAGCCCAAGGTCCTACCGTTGATCTTCAACGCCGCAAGGAAACAAAACCCAAACATTAAAGAGTCCTCAGATTTTGGGCACACACCCCCTACCCATCTGACTCTAGATGCGCAGCTAAGGTTGAATCAGATGAATAAATAGGCAGCTGGAGAGCCTGTGAGGGATGAGATGAACAAAATGATTATAGACATGGTAGAGGAGGGACACTGGTACCCTGGGGCTGGCTGCTCTTTGGGGGTGAAATAACTTGTTATACCACAGAAAGATGGCGAGGCAAGAACTCTGAGGGAGCTCAGGGCCATGCAGGGAAATAGGGGCCCCTTCTTGAGGGCTAAGGAGGAGGATTAAGAATGCACACTACATACACAAAAGACGTTACCCTTCTAACTGACATTATTGTGGTTGTTCCCACAGACCCCCTCGCTGCAGGACACAGGTTCTCAGCATAGCTTGTGGTCTGCAAGAAAGGACCCTTGGCAATGTCAAATGACAGTTTTTGCTTTCACTTTGGAGAAGGCGTTGCTCCTGACCTGTGGAGAGCTACCCATTGCTGCTCAGAATTCTAGAGTGCTTAGAATGGTCTTGCTACTAGCAAGATCCTTAAGTGTCCTTAAGGCTAGCTCCAGAAACTCTCAATATTAAAGACATTATTATTATTATTATTATTATTATTATTATGTTATTATTTAGTTGTTCAAATTGTTTTGCTGAATCTCTGTATGCTCTATCATCTATTCCTCTCTGTTTATATATCACATTTTTTGTCTTAAAAATATTCTGTGTATCAGTGTTTTCCTTGCATGTATGTATACTTAGTGCCCACACAGTGCATAAGTATCCTGTGGAACTGAAGTTGCAGATGGCTGGAAGATGCCATGTGGAGGTTGAGAATCAAGCCTTGGGCTTACAGAAAAGCAGCAAATGCACCTTTATAAATGATTCATCAGTGCAGGACTCGCTCTCCTCTTTTCTATCAGAGGCAGCATCTGTAAGCCTAAACTGGTCTTAAAGTCATAATCCTCCTGTCTCAGCTTCCAGTGAGCTGGGAGTATAGTTGAGTCCTTTTCTAACTGAATTTAATGGGCTTCTATGG